TGATCTGACTAATACATAAAGTTTTTTATTCCTGGCCAAATGATGTAAAATCATTGCCAGTTGGGTTATGCTTGTGAGATATGTTTCTCTGTTAATCTGAACTGTAATATGCATAGTATAGCTTTTATGGTTTCTCCTTATCAACTCCCTTCTTCTCTAGTTGAATGCACTATATCAACCTGAGGAATCTCCAAGCTTTTATTGCTGATGGTTCCTAAATATCCCTGTACTTAATACATCGTATTCTTTCAAAGCCCCTTTATTTGGGAGCTGTTTGTATATATTATGATTCATATTTAATTTCTCTTCTGTAAGTTTTTTATGTTTTTGTCTTCTCAATGCATTTATCTTTAAGATTGTTTTAATGTTGTTTTTATACATCCGCCTACCTTTTCACTGAATCATAGAACATCTGTTTAAGCTACATTAGACTGGAGAGAGGTTTATCTCAGTATTGTTCCCATATTTTGCCTTGGTCAGTGGAACAGCCCCTGGGGGGGTGGGGGAAGCAGATTTGGAGTATATTATGGAATTCTGCTGAAGAAAGTGGTCCAAAGAAGGGGCATCATATGCACAGCTTGCTCTAGATTTCCAAAACTGATTATTCCTTTCTTACCGTCATGCCCTGCATTTTGAGATGAAATGGTAACTGGAGGGAAGTAATGGCAGGTTAAACTCGAAAAACAAGGGATACCTTCTTTTACTATGTACAAACTTGTGAATGTCATTGTTTCACGGCCAAAAATACACTATAAAAATGAACAACTTTTATTAACAGTATGTATAGTCACATTGACAAATATGATGCAAGCAAGTTTCATGATTTAGGATTCAGTAGAGGATATTCACACCATTTAACTTCACATTCCGTAAGGCAGCTAGGCTAGGAGCACAAGGGAACTTTTAGTTAAATGCAATGACAGGAAGCCATGGCTAGAAACTGACGTGGACTATTTTTGTCTAAGGAAGCAGAAAATGTTTGTTAGTGCAGTTGTCAGGGATATGTAGAATAACACATATGACAAATGCAAAAACATTTTTTTGCAGACCCGATGATGTAATATTCCACAAAACCAATTATGTAATATTCCACAAGTAATATTAATAGTTTTCTTTACTCACTGTTCATCATTGATCTCTGTGGTAGTGGTCAAGTGGGAGAACAGTTAGATTTTTCTTATGTGTACAGCAAATAATCCGAATTTGATTTGAATGCTCTTGCTTTTGATTAGTGTGATTCCAACACTGCATGCCCAGAGCATTGAATAAGGAACTTACCATCTTTTTAAACCACTGCTGATTTATTCAGTTTCAAAGTTAATCTGATTATATCAAAAGGGCTTTGTCTATATGAACCGTGTATGTATTAGCCAGGATTTTGGAAAAAAGGCTGACAGAGGTTTGACTTTTTTGGTGAATGTGGATGTGAAAACACATTTCTGAAAGCTTTTAGGTACTGCAAAATTCCAGTTTTCTTGTCAGAAGCAGTAAGCAGGGAAACTTTAGAGTAGCAAGAACAGGGAATATTATCAGAAAGGGGAAGGAGTCTAAGATGGGTAGTGTTAAGTATTTCATGCTATTTCTCCTGTTGTGGAATTCATCCTTTAAATAAATCCAACTAAAGCCGGAATCCAAGATTAGCCAGTTGTTCAGAGCTATTCTTTCTTTATGACGAGTATAACTGCTGGTTTATATATATTTAAGGTTAGGTCTTTAAAATTCTTTTTTCTGGAATAAAATCAGAGTTATGGGTTACAAACAGGTTATGGGCTCTATTAGAAGGTAGAGGAATAATAATGAAACCATACGCAAGACTTGTGCTTAGAAAACATTAAATGCCTGTTCTTTGGTACACAAGTCTTTCATTCAGCTTCTAACAAGTCCATTAAGCATATATGAGCCCTCCTCTTTTCTCCGTGTTTGGTTCTGATTTCCCTGCTTCCCAAGTTTTCTTCCACTGGCTTCCTATCTCATTCTACTCCCATTGTAACTCCACATTGCTCTTCAGATGTGAAGACAGGGACACCTGTGGCTAATCTTAGCTTTTAACTCCTACTATTATTCTCTTGTGAATAAGAAAAGGATGTAAATACAATGCATTTATCTTAACTCTCAGTGCGTTATACCCTACCAGTTTCCT